GGGTGTCCTTGCCCCCGGGAGGAGCCCCCGGGGGCCGGCCCGGCCCGGCCCGGGGAGTTGGCCCCGCCTGGGGAGGGGGCCCAGCGGCACGGCCCCGCTCCCGCGAGGAACGCCGCAGCCCCCGCCGCGCCCCGCCCCCGCGCATGCGCAGCAGGACGGGGTGCCCGTGCTCCCCCACCGCGCAGGCGCCGTGCGGAGACAAGATGGCGGCGCCCGTGGACCTGGAGCTGAAGAAGGTAGGAGTTCCTTCGCGGCAGGCAGCGTGTTTCCCCCTCGTGTCCCGGACAGCGCCAGCCCGGTCCCCTCCTTCCATGCAGCCCGGGACCGGTTCGGCCCCCGCCGCCCGGCCTCAGCAGCGCGGGGCCGGCGGGCCGAGGCCTGTCAGGGCCGCCCCTCATGGGCGCTGCTCTCCCCCCCAGGCCTTCACCGAGCTGCAAGCCAAGGTGATAGACACGCAGCAGAAGGTGAAGCTGGCCGACATCCAGATCGAGCAGCTGAGCAAGACGAAGAAGCACGCCCATCTCACTGACACGGAGGTCATGATGCTGGTGGACGAGACCCGCATGTACGAGGGTGTGGGGAGAATGTGAGTACCTGCCCAGCCTGTGGTGGATGGCGGGGGGTTCCTTGCTGTGCCGAGAGCGGCTGCCTGGCTCCCTGCTTGGGCGTACCTAGCTTCTGCAGTGGAGTGGGGTAGTGATTGTGGCCCTGTGCACAGGGAGACCCCCCACCCTTTGTGTGTAGGAGGCCTCTAGGCTGCTGCCCTGGGCAGGAGGCTCTTCCCTTTACAAAGAACATGCTAGCTTTCTCTCAGCATGTTTGTTTCATTTTTCTCATTGTCTTTCATTTTTAATTCTAGCAGTCTGCCTGGGAATGCAGTGAGACTTACTGGGTTTTATCTCTTGGTGTTAGCTACTGGCTGCCTTGAAGGACAGTTATAAATGTTATGGGCTTTGTGTGGTTTTGCTTGCTGGCCTTACTCCTGGCCATGTGGGTGTCTTCTGGCACCTCTAGGAAGTTTGTAAACTGGACTAGCAGAGCAGCATTCTAATGATAGACAGCATTTGTGAGAACACTCGCACAAATCTGTCTAGCTTCAATCATTTCCAGTGTAGTTTACATCAGTCTCCTTGAAAAACCCCTGTGCACAGTTCACGTGCTCAGGGCTTTGCTTGCACAAATGTTCTACAGAAATGCCCTTTGCAGTATCATGCCAGGGAATGGATCTAATGGGTGTTGCCTGTATTTTTTAAACCCTTGAAAGTGAGCATAAAGCTCATATGGGTAGTCCCAGTGCACTCATAAAGATGTGCTTCCATGTGTTCAATGGTTGTCAAAAGAAACACCTTAAACCAGAAGTAATGTGTTTTGATTAACTTCCACAACACACTTCTGTTTCACTTCAGCAGCCTCTGATAGAAGAGCATACAAAGTGGTTTCAAATCTGAAACACATGCTTACTTGATAAATATCACACTACATTTCTGTGTTTCTGATGTGAGAGTACTATGATTTTTCTCTTGTGTTTCTTCTGAGTTGGGTAACAGTGATGACTCTGCTCAGCTTGGGATGTGGTTTTGCAAAACACTGAAACTGTTCTGACTGCTGCCAAAAGGGGTGATTGTATCGACCTCTTCCCCACGCTGTGTTTACCCCACCTTCTGCTTGTTGAAGGGGATGTTCACAGGGCTGAGTAGTGAGCCAGGTCAGACTACAAGAGCCCTGATCCATCAGACTGTGCAATCCCCAGATCGAGTTTTAGGGAGGTGGCAGGACTGGGAAGCCAGGTACAGTGTGTAGTTTGCCCTTTGTTGTGAGTTTTCACATGAAGTTGTACCCAGGCTAATGGAGGTGTTCAGCATGACAGAGTCCCTTTCTTGGTTCCCAGTAAATAAACTTTTCCATATAAGTGAATTAAATGTTGGGTTTGTGTGTGGATGCTCATGACTGGTACCTTAAAAGGAGGTAGATTTTGGTCTCTTGCAAGAGGTGACTTGATCCGGGCAGGCTGTAGGTGTAGCAAATGCCCGTGTTTGGAGTAGTCATGAGACAACTCCTAAAGGTTTTTTCTGTTTCTTATTGTCACAGAGCAGACAGACCAAGAGTAGAAGATAATTCTGGAGTCAACAATTTTTTTTAAAGCTTTTTTAAAATCCAAAAGTACAGAATACTTCTCCTATATGGGGAATTCCCTCAAGACACCTTAAAAATCTGAGTGTATTGGTCTTTATCATAAAGTAACCTTTCTTGTGAATCAGATGTGGGTAGCAGATGGTGTTTCGGTGCTGGCTGAAATGCATTGTCCTGCTTTCTGCTACTGCCTCCCACTTAGGAGTTAGAGATACTTACCTTCTTTGTGTCCTAAACCATCTACACTTTCTTTGCGTGCAGCAGCTGTGGGAGTGACAGTCTTCTGGGGAGTCTTCTTTTGCTTACCTTTCCGTGACTAGACAGGGTGGCTTAGGCATAGCAGGCAGCTCTTGCTCCTCAGAGATGGCAGAGGCACCATCAAAAAAGTATTTGCATTATGATAGTATTTAAAAGCTGAACTTTAATGGGCTTTGTTGTACTAGTCATTATGCAAATATAGATCTGGAGAGTGCTCTTCTTCTGGACACTACTCATTCACTCATTTTTTTTTTTTAATTTTTTTTTTTTTTTCCCCCTCCTGCCTTAACTTGATACGGTATTTCTGTGAGCTCTGCCATTTTCTTGCCGTGGGGCTGAAGGCTGCCTTGCCAATTGGCAGTAATGTGCTGGTATGATCTGTGTCACTCTCTAGTGTGGAGAACACTCACCAAGGACTCTCTTCCTGGAGCCCACTCCAACCCCTAGTAAAGAATTTATTGCTGAAATCTGGGCTTTTAGCAGAGCAGGCATACATGTTCTGTGAAGCAGAATTGCAGATTTTTTAATTTGTTGGCTTCATTGGCTTGCACAGATGTGGGAGTTCAGCCACCAAAGGGGTATTTATGATGTCTCAATTTCTTTTGCATAGTCTAGCATGCAAATGTTGGAGCTCTAGTGGGTTTCAGTTATCCAGGAAGGGTGGAGGTCTGCATCAGTGTTAACTCTGATTATCGATGCTCTTCTGACAGTGTGCTTGAATAGCTAAATTCTTTGAAGTAAGTTTTGTGCTTCTGTTCCTGTGCTCAACTTCCCCCCCCTTAACCCATTTAAGCTGCTACTTAGAATCTGGCTTCTGATAAGAGTTTCTCTGGTTTTTATTCCAGCTTTGGTGGTTTGGGGTGTGTGCAGGGGACTAGTAAGTACACTTCCGTAGGATAAGATACTCCAGGTCTTCATGGAATTTGAAGGCTTGAGGAACTGTGGTGACGTGCTGCATCCTGGGAGGAAGTCTGCCTAGTTGGGTACTCACTTCTGCACTACTTAGAAAGCAGCCGTGCGGTTTTTGTTCTTTGAACCCCTATCTTGAGCCTCCTTCCTTTCCGAGAGGCTTTCCCTGCACCACTGGTGAATGTGGAAGTCCATTTGTTGTTCCTCAACTTGGTCTCTCTTTTTTTTTTTTTTTTTTTTTTTTTAATATTATAGTGTTTGTAACATGTGGAGGCCTTACTGGCCACATGTGGGGCTCAATTTACTTCTGCTATAGCTATTTTTGGTTTGACACAAGAAATGTCAGTGCCACATAGTATGAGATGATGAATTGCTGTGTACTGTACATATCCGTGAGGCTGGGATATCATCTGAGTGGTGGCATCCTGCCACATACATTTCAATTCTGTTACTTCATACTCTTTTGAAAGGCCTGTTACGTAGCCTAAGACAGCTACCGCTATGCTGGACTTCTGCTTAAGCTATTTGTGAACTGATATCATCATATTGCTTTGAGAACTATGTTGAAAGTTTAAGCTTCAGAATTCTGTCTGAATATTTCAGACCTTTCCCTTTACATTCTTTTAACCCATAACCTGGACAAGATCCTTATTTACAGAAGAAAAATGTCAGGCACTTGTGCTAGGCATAGTGAGGAGAGCACTGCAGTTTTTTATGCCATGTCAAAATAGATAGTCAGTTTTGGTTTGATATTGCTTTATCATCAGTTTACTTCAACAAGAAATGGAAGAACACTTACAAAAATAAAATATAAGAAAGTAAAAATCGAGCAAATACTGCAGCACAACTTTATGTTCAAGGTTTTCTGCAAGTATATTATATTATTACAGCTGTCCCTGTAAAATGATTTTGTGCAAGTATAATATTTTATTACAGCTGTAATTATATGATTTTGACCTTTTTTTTTTAAGAGTGTTTCAGATTTTTGGTGGCTGAACCACACACAAGTGAAACCTGAGAGAGGATTACATGTTCATGATTGTTCCTGGGATTTAAATGCATTCCAGCTTTTACTGTGGTTCTTGGTTTTGTTTGAAAATGAGACATCATAAATCATTGTAAGCTCTTTCCTGAACCCCTGAAGACAGCAGTCACTACGGCACATTGCTCGATACAGCTGCAGTAGCTGCATTTTTAGTTTTTGTGTGTGTATGAGATTGGTGTTCTATTCTACTAGCACAGATCACTGCAGAATATGGTAGCTGTTCTGTGCTTCCCGCTCACATTTCAAAAAACTCACGAAGAACTGAAGGACACGCAAGGCTTAATCTTTATGGTTCAGTTGCTAACTATAGGCTGGTCTGTGAAATCCAAGTGGGATCTCTATAGCCCATCTCTTTGGGTAAGGCTTTGTGCAGAGTTCAGTGCTGAAGCCCAGCTGCTGAGAAGCTGACAGGTGCTGCAATACTTAAATGAATCCCAGAGACAAGCATGTTGCTATCAGCCTCTGGGCAACATGTAGTTCATAAACTTGAAGCTCCTCTATCTAGCTATGGAAAAAGGGAAGATTTTATTTTCCACAATAAGTCTGGTGTGTCTAGTAAGTACGTTCAGGCTCTGAACTGCGAAGAAAACAAATTTGTGTCCAGCTGCTTCCTACTTCACCACTGTTTATGCTGTATGTTGAACAAGACAGGGTTGTTGGGAGATGGTGCGTGACATGTGTGCATAAGCCATAAGGTTTTCCATCACCCAGTTGGTTTTTATTTCTTTTTTTTTTGTTTTAAACTGCTCACTTTTGTTGCAGCCTGAACAGTGTTCTTCACAGTGTTATGTGTGAATGGGCCTCTGAAAGTTTGCAAGATCTTTTTAGAGAGCTGTCGCAGAAAGCAAAAATCAAAACAATGCACGCAGGGGTAATGCAGCAGTAGTCTGTGTAGGGGCCTTTGACTTGAGCAGTGAACTAAGGGGCAGCAGTTGGTTGCCATCCTCTTCCTGGCTGATCAGGAGTGTGAGAGGAGCACAGCTGGTCAGCGGGCTTCATGGTTAACTGCTGGCAATACTGGGATACTGGAAGTCTGGACTCCTGGATTCTGTTCCAGATCAGAAAGGGAGCTTGTTCTCTTGGGCACAGGCTCCTTTTCCAACTTGACATCTTCTGATTTCTCAAACGTGTTCCCCCTGCCCTTCCCCCACTTAGTTCTTGATCTTATTTCTGCTGTCCTGGGCTGCTCATTTGTAATCTCCTGGATATCTTGGTCCAGTTATAGCTCTCTTGCCCTGCTGCTC